CAAACTGTAGAATTAAAATTAATAATACAATATACTTGAGATAAAATACTCAAATGAAAAATAATTTGCATACATATATAACCAAAATATAACATTGTTTACAGAACTATATTCATGTTTAGTATGTAAACTATTTTCCATATTTAGCAAATTTAAATACATGATACACACACACACACAGAGTCAAAGTCTGACCTCAAGATAAGAGAACAATTTCAAAATAGCAGTTACTTCTAGGATACAAGAGAGGGGAAAGTAATTGAGAAAGAATTCATGTAATCAAGGGTGACTTCAATCATACCTTATTTTTTTAAAGATAATATGAAGTGAATATGGAAAAATATTAAGATTGATCTAATGGGAAGTATACGGTAATAGTTATAATGATCTGATTTAAGAATAATGTAATATATTTTATAATAAATATCCATAATAATATACTTTAAATAATTAAAAATAAAGTATGAATTCTATTTTGTCTCATGGTGTATAGATATAGTCCTCAGCTCTACTTACGATCAGTCACAGAACTCATCAGAGATATTTCCCAAGAGCAAAGGCAAGAATACTTTAGGAGTAGGTGGTTTAAAATGCTTAGAGAGACCCTGACCTGAGTAAATTAACTCAAAAGGCATCTGGACAACCAGATCTTCACCATCCTATTCTAAATATTAAGTTCCAAGAAGAGAAATCTTCATCTCATTTTATACCAGGGTTCGTAGCTACCACCTGCGTAGAAAGGAATTTTTGAAAATCAGACCCAAATTTTTTAAGACAAACATCAAATCTCAGAATAAGACTAGGAAATAAAATGTACATCAAGAAAACATCAGCAAAAGGAAAAATGTTATTTAATTTGTGCTCTCCTTAAGTTCTATTACTTAACCTAGGTTGGCACCAAAAAGGAAAAGAAGTAAGAAGTCCAGTTTCATTATAGTTATATTCACAGCAATCCCAGCAGGAGTATGAATAAAATGAATCAAGAAGCCACAAATGAAATGCCTGTGTACCCTGGGAATAATTGCTCAGTCAAAACGTTCCGAAGGCAGTTTGCTAAATGAAAGGACATAGTGGGAATCCAAAAGCTTAAATCAACATTTTACTACAATTATTGGCTTTTTTCCACACTTCTCCCAACCTTCTACCTAATTTATAGTTGAATTACCACATCTAAATTAGACATTAGTTTTCCTGTACGTTATGAAATAGTGTGACTGATGACAGTAATAGGAGAAAAGGCTTGCAAAATACATCTCTTACATATTAGAGTGGGAACAGCATGAGACCAGGTCCTACAATTACCATCTTGGTTAAATCTGAACCAATCACTCAACCTCCCTGGATTCAGTTTTCATTTTTGCAAAATGATTTTTAAAAATAATGTCTGATAAACTAAAGAGATTAAGCAATTTTTCATGTATTTACTAGCATGAGTGTCTCTTTGCAAAATGCCTATTTTTTTGCCATTTTTCTATTCTTTTATTGATTTATAGGGGTTCTTTACATATCTAAATACATCACCTCTGTTGGATAAATGCCAATCTTTCCATGTACCTGTAAATTGCTCATTATTTGCCCATTTCTTCATTATGCCACTTTTTTGCTTCTTTAATATGTAGGAACAGTAAGTGGATACTAATCAATGTAATAGGTATAGCTATGACAACTGTAATGGCAATCATACCTGCCCTACGTGCCTTATAGAACTGTCATATCAGTTGAATGATCCCATATATTCTGCTAACTATAACATGTAAACTATGATAAAATCTCACAGAAAAGACACAATTCTACATCTAAAAAAGACATCTGAAAAATGGTGCATTTGCAAGCAACCAAAATTTTCATTTAATAATAATCTGAAAGTTCTCAGAAATCACTTCTGACCTTAATTTATGGATACCAATGGGAGATCTTTTCTACTCAGGGATTCCCTATTGGAACTTCCTCCATAAAAACGTCAGTTCTAATGGATTACTCTCTCAATCCCACTATTTCACAAGATGAGAGGGTAACTTTAAGAGGCCATGTAAAATTTCCTGTAGAAAAGATAAGTACTTTATAGGCTGACTTGCAGAGCACTTCGAAACAGAGTCTATTCATTACTCTGTTCATTAGTGAGATTTAGGCAAAATTTCTGCCATTTATTATGGCATATTTCATCAGCCCCACCTTTTCATATGTACTCAGTAATATTTTATGCATTTCTCTATATAATTTAAACCTTCCTCATTTACACAATTCCCTTTAACAAAGTGACCCAGATTAATATAGTCTAAAGACTAGACCCACAGACTTAAGACTTCACATGTAATTTGGAGGAAGTCAAATTCTTAAACTTGGCTCCTTAACAGAATGATGCATGGCAAGCAGGATAATGGTTCCTGGAAGATATCCATCTCCTAATTCCCACAATCTGTGACTACATTACTTTACATGGCAAAGGAAGCTTTGCAGATGTGATGAAGATTAAGGACCTCAAGATGGGTAAACTAGCCTAAGCGATCCAGGTGGTCTCAATCTAGTCACAAGAGCCCTTAATAGAGGGAGGAGAAGGCAGAAGTGTGGGTCAGAGAAGGTGATGTAGGAAGGATGTGACCCTCTGTCGCTGGTTTTGAGGATGGAAGGAGAGGCCTCGAGTCAGGAAAGTTTCTTTCTGGGAGCAAGAAAAGGCAAGGAAGTGAGCTCTCCCATGGAAACTCCAGAAGGAACACAACCTGCCAACATCGAGGTTTTAGCCCAAGGAGACCCATGTTGGACTTCTAACCTAAACAACCATAACATGGTAAATGTTGTGGTGATTTGTTACAGCAACAACTAACAACTACACAGAGCACACCTACCTAATTCGGTTTAAATACTGAAACTAGTTAGAAGAGAATACTCTGGAACCCAGCTCCTGCCTGAAAATCACAGTTGTACCACTTGTCAGCTGTGTCAAGTGAAAATTATTAACCAACATCTTGGGTTTTCTCATCTGCAAAATGGAACAAATAATAGCACCAACCTCATAAGATTGAAGGACTAGATGAGTGACCTCGTATGAAGCACTTAAAATACTGTTTCTTATACAGCAGAAATGAAACACATCTCAATGGCTGCTATTATTTCTTTTAATCAGTATCACTTTAACTCCTTTGTCAGTCATCCACAGAAAAATCACGGTATCAACAGCCTTCAAAATGGACATGGAAATAAGACCTTGCAAAATGATGTGTGTATGTATCTGAAAACAGTCCCCATAACCGACTCAGCTCCAGTAAGTGATTGTGGTTCTCCAAGAGTCATCCCCAAGAATGAGGACCAGATGGCCAAAGTCAAAGTGTCACCAAGATCTCCACTAAGCGAGAAACACTAACCACAGGGCCTGACAGAAAAAGGGCCCATCAAAAAGAGCTGTCTTATTAAAAATAATAGATGTAGCAAAATTAGTTTATACTGAAATTTGCCATAATTGCTATTTGTCAGCTTATTTGGTATTTATACCACACTTTCATTTACAAAAAGCCTGCTCATTTCTTCACAATTAAAATTTCTATTTCACTTGGCCCCTGACTCATCAACATTTATGTAAATTGATATAACCTGGCTAAGCAATGATGATTCACATTATGAAACACCAAGATACAATTGGTGATTTCCATAAAGGGTACAGGTGGTGATTTCTGTAAAAAGTAGGGCTATAATAAAATGGTATAAATATTTTCTATTTCATAATTAATTCCATATTCTATGACAGTAGTGATAAAACTCAAAGAACAGCCACATGGCATCGGAAAAAAAAGGATAAAACAAAATCTTTTCATTCCATGGAGACTTTAAGTATAAACTTCCGTAAAGTGTTACAATAAAAATAAGGGCTTGGGTTGTTTTAAAAAACATTGAGTGGACTAACAAAATATATTATAACATAGTTCCTACAATTTTCTCCCCAGAAAAAGCAATAAACTTTAAGATTCCAAAACTACATAATCCTATCATTTAATTAAACGCTATTTTAAAAAAAAATAGTTAAATATGTCCCAGCAACGGCAATGTACTGTTAGCTCCTCCAAAGAAAAACTTACAAGTAGTTACATAAAATGTATTGACGGAATAATTGGTTTTCTGCCCTTTCATTAGTTCAAGTTCTCAAAGACAACAGAATAGTAAGAACTACAAAAAATAACATTTATCTGAAAAGTCATCAATAATCAATATTCCTCTCTCTTTAAAAGGTACTGAAGACCTTGGCTATCACGAGCAGACACCTGCAGGGAACAGCCCAAAAGACACCCAGTTCCTTTCTCCCCAACCTAAAGCTGCACATCAGTGGTGCTCTCTGAAAGGCTCAGCTGAGCTGACCCCATCATGAGTAGGTCCAAGCCATGCCCCCAAGAATTCCCCTAAATCTCTGCATCCAGATTCAAGTACACCTCCCTCCCACAACTTTACACGTAGGCTAAAATGGTTCTCCTTTATCTTATCCAACAGACATTGAGTAGTCCAAGTGATGTGTTTTGTGTGTGGCTATGTCCTCAAATGCAGTGTGTGTGCATGTATGTGCATATACATACACTCATGTACATATACATGCATGCATGCAGACACATACGGGAGAGAGACCAAGAATCAAGATACAGGACAGGGTTACCAGTTCAAAAGCTCTCCAGGACCAGAAGTGGAATGTAATACATGAAACAGCTGGGTAACTTAACACCAATAGTAGAGGTTATTGCAAAAAGGAAAATATATACTCCATCAAAGAGCATTCAAATTCAACCTCAGAAAAACGGTGTTGGTCAAATCAAATACACTCACAGCTGGATTTCAGCAGAAGGGCCAGATTCAACCCTAACAGTGCAATAAACCTAACCAGTCATGTTATATTTTATTCCCTCTGAGCATGGCCAAGGGCTCTTAATTAGAAACTCCCCTGCTAGGGCCCCCAGGAATCACCAGGTCTTTGCCTAGGGACTGAAGATACAGAAGAAATTTGTGGTTCAAGATTAAATACTTACCACTTGAGCTCCCAGGAGTAGAATACTGAGATGCATCAAGGAATTTTCTAGGCGTAGGAAGGTTTGTAACATCAATCAGAGGAACAGGAGATGCATCTTTCATGTGGGAGCTGAAAGAGAAGAGTGGCTGTCGTTACTTATCATTTTCTCCAAAACCAGCTCAAGTCCCCACATGACAAACCCGTCCCTCATCACTTTCTTTCATGAGACCACTATGACTTTAAACATCTCCCAAGTATATTTCCAGTAAAGTGGGACAAACAAAGGTACATTCTAAGGGTTTCAAGTGCTTAATTGTTTTTTATTTTGTCTTTTCATTTTGATATTAGATTTAAAAATAAGTGTCCATCTTACAACCAAGTTATGCCATGCATTTTCAGCACCCTCTTTTGTTTCTGTATGAAATTAATTTAACAGCAAAGATATATCAAATGACATCATAATAACTGAATAAAGATTTAACAGCAGTTAAGTCTAGTGTAACTTGTGTTTTCTCGGGTGGAGTTGGGTTTTTTAACATATTCTGACAATGTGCTACATTTGGTTTTCTTCAAAAGGGGGTCATAAATTTCATGAAGTTAAGAATCACAACAATAAAAGATGATTTACAGAATCTCAAACAGGTTAATTCAATATTTGATTACCCATTTCACCTTTTCCAAAAAGACCTACTCCCTCATCTTAATAATGAACTTTAGAATCTCCAAAATAATCCCATTAATTTTATTTTTTATTTTTTTTTTAGGCTTTATTTATTTTTTTTATTTGTTTGTTTGTTTTGTTTATACATGCACTGGGTACAGTCAGAAGCGCGGGAGGGTGAGAGAATTCACCAGAGCCAGAGTGGGGAGCAGAGCAGGCAGAAGGACTGAAGTACACTGCTGAGGGGAGCAGCGGGCGGCAGGAGAGGTCTGCGCGCCATGTGGGATCCTCCGCCGGTGGCCGGGGAGCAGCCGGGGATCGAACCGGCGCCGCAGAGGCCACGGGCAGCTTCGCAACCCAGCGCTCAACCGCTGCGCCACCGGGGAGGCCCAATAATCCCATTAATTTTAAATGACACAAAGACTATAAAAAACAATTAAACTCTCAAGTTAATTTTCATTTATAGGTATATATTAAGTCTGAGAATGTAGGCAATACCAAAGCAAAGAACACCGGTGGCTTAACTTGCAGAAACCATCATCAAAACACATCGAGTCTACAACAGAAAAGCTTCTCTAAGTCCCCACGGGTAGAGAAATCAAGGCCACAGTTATGGGCTCTTTCCAACCCCAGCAAACAGTATCAAGATCACAGTTACCCAAGGAAGTGATTCTCAAAGTGGGTTGTAAACGGTTTCGGGCAAAGGCTGGGGGCGGGTGGTGGACAGGACCCAAACTGCAGAAAGCCTTTCTTGAATAGGATGGCAGGATATACACTGTTTTGAACATCTAACCCCCCCCCCCCACCAATAGTGCTATATCCCCATCTCCCTTCTATACTCCCTTTGGAGCAAGAGCTAGGTAGGTATGTATTTTAACACTAGTGAAAAAGAAACTCGTTCTTTCAAAAAAAAAAAAAAAACACTGGGGGGAAAAAAACTTTTGTTAAAGGGCAAAATTATCATACAAAGTATTATTTTTATCAAGGACTAATAATGTATGGGCCATTCCCTAGGGTCCCGATGGTAACTATGACAGTCACTGACTTCTCCCTTTTCACTTATTACAGGGATAGGGACTCATTAATCAAGTCCTGAACATTTATGTGCTCGGCACTGGGCTTGTCCTGAGGAACCAAGAATGACTAAGACATGAGCTCAACCGAACTCAGCCCATTTCCAATTGTTGGAATCACTGAAGACGCATATGAAACCTCAAGTGAGGTAAAAGATGAAAAGGAACAAAAATAGCAATTACCAGAAATTGAACTGACATAATTCCAGTAGCTCTTTTCCTGAAACACAGTTATAAGTTTCCATTTGCCTCAACTACCTTTAAGAATTCCAACAGAGTCTTCAAATCCACTGATTTGTCATAACAGTTTTGTCCATGTATAAAATCAACAAGGTTATGGATTTTTCCACTCATCTTTTATGTGTTACTTTCATTTTCCTCTTTTTTTCCCTCTCTTCTACCTCATCCTCTTCCTGCATTTTACTCATAGTTGGAAAACCAGTGCTACACACCTCCCTAGCCCCTGGAAACACTTTCAGAGACAGGGTGATCAAGGACTTTATTGTGCTACTACTGAGTCCTTAAGAAAAAGTTCATTTCATATGGAAATATTTATAACATATTTTATATTTTTCCCCAAAAGTAGAAGAGTTATTTTGGAAAGCATAGCTAAATGAAGGTACGGATTAGCAGGCAAAGTCCGGTAGATAGCTGGAATACTGCCTGCCAAGCCTGCAAACAGAGCAGCACCATGAATGCATGTGTGTACACACAGCAACGAGCACGTATGTGTAGGCAGAACATATGCATCTAAATATAGAGGTGCACATGAATCAGTTTAGATTAAAACCTACAATTATCTCCTTGGTTTTAACCTAAAAATATATTTCAGCTAAATATAGGGTGATATATGGCTTGCCATTTTAACTTTGAAAAACATAACCCACTGACTTTATTAGCAGAGCCAGAAGGGCTCTCCAACTCCATCAATAAACTTTTAGAAAGTCAATTTACAGCAAAACAATTTTCATAGACTCATCTCTCTTTCTAAAATTTTCCCTTGGGCTTCAATTTTCTCCTTTGTGAACACTAACCCAAAGGCAAGTATCTCTGGAAATGACTTTCGGTTTTTTTCTTATTCTTTTATGGGAGGACTTATTCTCCAGAGTTCAAGAGAAAGGACACACATCCAGTCTGTTAGTTAATACTGACAGGAAGCTTGGCAGAAAGGCATGTGCCTTCCACAATATCACGTGTAAACAGAGGGAGTTCAGTCTCTTTTCCGGGAGACAGAAAAGGCCTCTTGTCCCCCAACATGTGAGGTAAAGTTGAGAAAGAATTAACACCCTCTAAGGGTTTTGACTCTGTTAGGGAAGTATTTTTGAAAACACATAAAATGAAAATTAGATTGTTCTTTTCAAGTTTCTATTATGAATGCTCTCAACTGCTTTATTTTGAGAGAAATATTGACAGAAGTTATTCTTCTTAAATACATGACAAATCTTGATTTTAAATTCATTAAGAATCATTCGCAACTGTTGGGAAAAAAGACAGCAAAATGTACATTAAATCTTTCCCATTATAAGACAGTTGCCCCTGCCCACATTACTAATTGTTGATTGTGATTGAACATGATTTGCTATTTTATAACCATATGGTGGAAGAAAACAATAAAGCAAATTAAACTATACCAAAAACAACTAGCACTACCATCAATAACGCCAAGGACTTCGTTGTTAGAACCATCCAACCACTCAGCATCTAATTTTAAATGTGTTTTTCAGTATTCAAACCAGGAAAGGCTGATTTTTATATGTTTTAAAGAAGGATTAGAACTGCCATTAGCTTATTAAAACTTTGCTTTTTAATTACAAATGTATTCCTTCATTTGGTAAGAAATAAGACCAAATTATCCAAAATTTACAGCAGGAGTTCATTTGGATAGTTTGTCAAACTAACATTTGACAAAGGTGAGCTGAAATTTAAGTTGTAAATCTAGTATCTAATATATTCACTTCTATAACCCCAACAGCTGGCACAGTACCTGTCAAAGAACAAGTGCTCGTAAAAGTTGGTTAAATCAAACTGAGCTGAGAAATGTCTGTCAAAGATAATATGCCCTTAGTAAGAAAATGTAACTGAATAATGAAACAGGAATGGCTGGCATAATAATTCTCTATGGTTCGAAGATCTGGCTGAACATACAGAAATAATAATGAATAATTTAGAGGGTATAAAAGTCAAAAACAGTCATGGTCTCAAATGATAGACCAAGAGTGAAGACATGTAATGCAAAATAAAGTGCAGCTAAAATTCAAGCAGAGACAGAAGAGGGATGGAATGGGGGCAGGGAGGAGGGTTAGAGGGAGAAGCAAGTAGGCAGAGGACAAGCGAAAGATTTAACAAAAGAAAATAGATACATGGAAATAAAAAAAAAACTTAAGGATCAAAGAGTTACACAGGAAATATAATGGGGTCAAGGACACTCTCATCAGGAAAACAAAAAGCACACAAAATCCACCTGTCTGAAATTTTCACCTCCACAGACTAGTAGCCAAGAAAACAAGGTCAAATCAAGTACTAACCCAAGATGCACACAATACGTAAACAGAATTAAGTCTTTTTAAAGAAACCTTATACTTCAGAAGCCATGGTCGAGGTGCATAAAGTATCTGTCTAGTAAAAACTATTTGTTGATATAGGTATTATAGGTTTTTACACCACCAAACTGTATACATGCTCTTTTTTTCAACATTCTTCAGATCATCCTAGTTTTCCTTTGTAACTGCAAACATTTTGCCATTTCATTAAAAAACAATTTTCAAATTAATTGTATAAACATATTACATGTTCATGGTGCAAACATTCTCAGTGCAGAGGGCATAAATAAGTCCTTTCTATGCCCCACCCCCCATATGTCCACTTGCCATGGGTAATTCCTTTTTTTTTTTTTTTTTTAAAGATTTATTTTTTTTTATGCATGCAAGAACTGGGGTAGAAGCCAGATGTGCGGGAGGGTGAGAGGATTCACCAGAGACAGAGTGGGGAACAGAATAGTCAGATTGACAGTGTTTCAGCAATGTCCTTCTGGAACATTCTATACACATGCAAACATACATCTGTATCTGAAGGATAATTTTTAAAATATACATCCTTTCAATTCTTACATAGATTTATATCATACATGCTATTTCTCAACCTGCTTGTTTGGGACCAAAGAATACATCTTAGAAATCTTCCCCCATGAGGACAAAGATTTTTATTTAAGATCTACTATTACATGGCATGGGTATACCATAATTCATTTAACCAGACTTCTCCTGAAGCACATTTAAATTGTCTATTTTTGTTGTTTTTGCCAACAATGTTTCAATGAAATCCAGACACAAATGTTTATGTGAAATCTTTTTTGTAGGACATGGACTTATAAAGTCTATTTTCTTCTATGCTAATAAAATTTTGATGTTATTTTTATATTCAGGTAGAATTTTTTTATATAGCAACAGGTAGGCATCTAAATACATCTTCCTGAAATAGCCAACTGTCTCAATACTGGTTGCCTTCAATTCTCCATCATGCTTAATTACTGTTAAAACACACTAAAGTCCCATATAACCTGGAATCTGTTTTGAAACTCTTTCATTCCACCAACCTGACTTTCTGCCTGCATACTTATATTGTTTTGACTAAAGCAATTTTATAATATTCAGTGCTAGATAAGAAAAAGCTCTTTAATCATCTCGATTTCAATGACTCACACATTTATTCTTCCTTGTCTGAGTTTTTAAAAACTCAGCTGATATAACATATATAACATATAACGTATAAAAGCCTTACTCCAAAAATTTATGTACCGTTTTATACTAATAGTAAATCAACACAATTTTATTTTTAAAAATAAATGAAATAAAAACTCAACTGAGATTTATCTGAGACTGTCATCTTTATGAGCGAAAAACATAGGTTTCCCCATTTAGTTAGGTCCTTTCCAGATCCTCCAAATACATTTTTACTATTTCCACGTAGGCATCTACCCTTCATTTGTTAATCTACCAGTTGTCTATTTCTACTTCAAAAATGTCTTGTTATGTATGTGCCCTCATAGGACTTCTTTGCTTCCTCTAGCAGACATTTGTTCTTGGGAGTTTCTGGATACCAACAATCAATAACAATCTTGTACTTGGAGATACACTTCATGGTCTGGGTCAAAGCAAGAGCGAAAGAAGATCCAGCTTCCTAGTATAAAAGATGAAGGAGGCCAGACATGTCCCAGACTCAACAAACTGGGTGCTCCCACCCAGGGCTTTGAATCTGGAGGGGATAAAGGGAAGATGCAATGACATGTAGACATCATTTATAGGTACATGAAAGATCCAGCTGCAGGCACACGGTGCTGGCAGAGCAGCGACCCCAATGTGCCCCTCCTGTGGCTCAGCTGCTCTATGTCCCGTGACCCTGCTGGATGTCAGAGGCTGATCATGCAGACTTCCTTCCCCTTCCCTCAGAGTGTAGGAATCAACTCGACAATAAATTTCTTCCCTTGTTTTAGTTCCCAACACTGATTTTTGCAATTTGCAATCAAGAATGTTGGCTAACGTCCTTTGTAATAGAATGTTTTCGTTCCTTCTGTCTTGTCTTGTGATTTTGCAGTGTGGAAATACTGAAATATACATATCTAAGTTAATAAACACACAACTAAATGAATTAAATATTTGTTTCTATTAAAATCCAGAACAATTTCTGACTTACCTAAAGCAAGAACTTAACATTCCTTTCTATTTTCTACCTGTCCAAATTCCCCAGTATAATGTAGGGATAAAATTTCAGTTCACTATATTCTTTGGCCATAGACCTTGTTCAAAAACAGTTTATAAGCTTTTCACCTTACAAAAATATTTGCCATTTATTTATATGCAAATTTACCTATTTTTTAGATGAGTTAGAAATGAAGCTTTATTGTAGGTGATAGTAAGTGCAGGCAGATTTAGGGAGAATGGTGCCACAAATTTACATATTAATGGTGTCTAGTCTTTGCGGTAGTTTTAAATTACCTACTTATTGTTCTCAAGTGGTTGAATTTAGTTTATATCTTAGAGTGCATCTCTGAGTATTTTCCTTAGAAAAAGAACATTAGTGTTTTGGTTCTTGTTGTTAATTTATATCTGAGACTGTCTCTCCGCTGCCTTTGCATATCAATATGTACTTGGCCAGGTAGAGAAATCTTTGGTCCAAGTTCTTCCCCATTCAACATGTTGTAGACTGTGTTGTGCTGTCATCCGGTATTTTGTGCTCGGCAAATTCTGGTGAGCTGAATTTTCGCTTCTTTTTTGTGTATCAGGACAAGGTTTAACTGCATACAAGAGAAGAGCCCAGTAACACTGGCCTGAGCAGAAACAAGTTTTCCTTCTTGTCGTATACAAGATGTAAGCCATTCAGGGCTGTAACAGAGGCACTGTGTCCACTAATGGAGTAGAAGATCTGGGTTCCATCCTAAGGTCACCTAGGGGCCAAGATGGTTTAATGGCACCAATTCGTGCTCTAATCTGAAAGGAAGGGCAAGGGAGCGTAAAAGAATGAGTATACCAGGTAGGTAGGCACCTCAAGAATTTTGCTATGAGCCCTGGTTCAACATCTTGCAGGCAGAAGTCTCACTAATCACCATTAGCTATATAAGAGGATGGAAAATGTAACTTTTTGCTGGGCATCTAGCCACCAAAAACAAAAGGGTTTTCATTAGAAGCGAAGGAGAGAATGGACAGTGGGTGGGCAAATAATCATCTCTGTCAGAGCAGATAGCACAATTTGTCTTCCTGATGCTTAGAGAATTTGCCTTTGAAGTTCACAGAAATTCCTTCTTCCTATCACTGCTTTTTACCTTGAATCCCTCTGATGTGCAGACTAAGGTCTTTTTTCTATTGAAGTATGCTTCTTATTTACACTGTATTTACTGCTCTGTTCCTCTCTGTATTGGTGTGCTAGGGATGCCACAATGAAGTCTCACAGACTCAGGGGTCTGCACAACAAATTCATTTTCTCACAGCTCAGCTGACTGTCCAAGATCAAGATGCTGACAGGGTTGGTCTCCTTTGAGTCCTCTCTCCTTGGCTGGTGGAAGGCTGTGTTGTCGCTGTGTCTTCACACAGTCTTCCCTCTGTGAGGGGCTCTGTCCTGATTCCTTCCTCACTCAGACACCAGTCATACTGGGGTAGGGTCCACCCTAATGGCCTCCTTTGAACTTATTTACCTCTTGAAAGATCTGATCTCCAAATACAGTCATATTCTGAGGTGCTGGGAATTAAGGTTTCAATATTTGGATTTCAGGAGGATGCAATTCAGTCCATATTATCTTTTTCTTGTCACTCTGTGGAACATCTAAAATCACCATTCTCCATCTCTCATTCCTTATCTTTCTTTCATTAGCTTGTCTTTTCCACTTTATGATGAGGAAAGCTTTCCCTCCTTATCAGGGATTCAACTCTTGTCTCTAATGCTTTTTAGCCAAGACTTCAATTTTTCTACTTTAATTTTCCTTGCATTTTGTTAGCTCGTGTAGCATGTACCCCTATTCCATTCTGATAGTGCCCCATTACTTCATGGAAGCTCATGCTTGCTAGATACAAGCACAAAACTTCAGTCGTGGTAACAATAAACACTTATTTTGGTGATGGTGGGTCCAGGCAGGCAGTTTAGCTGAGCTTCTCCAGGTCTCTCATCACCCTGAGGCCAATGCCACCACGATAAAGGCAGAGGCACATGTGAGCAAGGCCACTGGCATATGCACATTTCAAGACCCACCTTGCACTGCACATGCTGACAATACGAAAAATTCAAACTCAAAGGACAGGAAACACAAAAGGAGTGATTATTTTGATCATCTCATCTATAGTATCATCTTGTATCTTTTCAAAAACCTTCAGCTTTAAGCCTCCTAAATTTTTCATATATTGCTTTAAAAAATTTTTTTCTCAGAAAAATGTTCTTCTCTGAGATCTCAAGGTAAGGCTGACTGTCCCTTATGCTAGAGGATATTCCCACAGGACTCGGAGTTTTGTTTGTTTTATTGTGTTTATTAAATCTTGCACAGAAAGAAATTTACCCAGACCTGCCATTTATTCACCACCAGACACTGTAGGGAATTTCCCGGGCACTGCCCTTGTCCACTCCTCTCGGAAAAGGTACTGACAGTTATTCTATTTACATCCAGTCTTGAAATCTCAGGGACATACCCCGTAGCTCAATTTGCATGTGGGAGTTTATTTAGTGTCCATCTGCATAACAGAGATAGAAACATTCTCTGCTAGGGACTCTGAGTGAACAAAAGCATCACCTGTGAAGTTGGCAATTTTTGTCTCAACAGGACAGAAGACGAAAGGCTTCATGCACTGCTTCTAGCACTCTGTCTGCAGGTGGATGACAAAGCACGAACACGTGTATTTCAGCAAAGTGTTAAAGTGAAAAGAACTTACGCCTATTTTAAAGGAATGTTGAAAAGACATATGGTGCACAGATATCTAATACATGCTTATAACACCAATATTCTTAAGGTTGAGTTTTATTTCCTACCATCTCTACTTATCTTCTAAGTGTCTTGAGTTCAGCTGGCCCTTAAATGTAGAACTATGCCACGATCAGCACAGGGATAAAAGAAAAGAGTTTTCTCTGAACTTATATTGAACTAGGCCAGATGGAGGACTGTCTACAGCTCAACACAACCCTAAGTAACAAAGAAACTCATAAGTGCAGTTCAGACACTTGTATTTCTTCACTAGGCCGACTTCATTGTCCAGTTTAAGGATTTTTTTCACTTCCTTCTGACATATATATAGTATCTCTGATCCAGTATATTGAAGGCCCACAGTAAATGCTTCTCGTTTGTTGTTTTTTTTTTTTTTTTTTACATAAGAGGATTGTAATAAACATACAACAAAGGAATGAGGGACTCAGTGTCAACCTTTCAAAACACAGTATTTGTTATTCGCTATTCTATAACCATCTTAGTTTCACAGACAGTATGCGAAAAAAGAAAAGTAAAATAACTGCAACTATATTCTGAGAAACAAGAGTCTTTAAAACATTACATTGCTACAAATATTGTAGTGAAGAGCCTCTGACCAACCTCATTCTCCCTTTCTCCTTGGTCCGCTGCACAACTCTGCTGGTAGACTTGATATACAGATGCCGGTGCAGTTCGTCTATGAGGACCAAGTGGAGGTTCATCTTCTTGCTGTGAAGCTCCAACCGAAGGTCACTCAGACCTTCCACCTGGAGCAGGGGGCCCTCCAAAGATTCAACTGCACACACCTGAAATAAAAGAAAAATTGATTTAAGTGTAAGTAAAAGAGCCTCCCCTGGTGGTGCAGTGGTTGAGCGCTGGGCTGCGAGGCTGCCCACAGCCTCTGCAGCACCGGTTCGATCCCCGGCCACCGGCGAGGGTCCCACAAAAAAAAAGTGTAAGTGAGAAATCTAGCAATATTATAAATGAGATTTTTCAAAAGCTGTTATCAAAAGGAATTTTGAGAACCTTCTCAGTAAGCATGGGGCTTTGCAGAATATAATGGGGATAGGCCTGGCTGGACCCTTGAAAGGCTCAACACCTAAGACAGTGCTGAAGAAAGCGATCTTGACAAGTATAAATATGAAGGCACATGAAGCACAACAGAGCTGTATGCACTATTTACCCCACATGCATGATCCATGGACACACACGAAATGACTCCCTGAAGACACATCATTCCTAGTCTCACAAGAACTCCATGTACTAATGGCTTCAATCTAGGTCTAGCCAGTAGCCTTTTCAAACTAATAAATAAAAGCATGCTATATAAAACCTAATCCTCATGGTGACCATGTGTCAGGCCTCTCTTGCTTGCTCCTGTATGTTTTTCATATGAATGCCAGTGCACAACAACAGTCATTATCTCTCCTTGACCAGATTCCATTTGATACAAGAAATTGGTTTCAAATGGTAAATAGAAGAGAAAATATAAGGAGAGAAGACAGCCCTGGCCGAAGGTACAAGTGGGGAGATTCTAAGACAAAAAAGGGTTGGAGGAATAAAGATGGTGTATACGAGTAGAGATGAGGGCCTCAGGGAACATGGAGTGACTCACGATGAAACCGGTGTCAACTACCAAGGAAAACAACAAAAAATAGACCACATGTGTGATATGATCCCATTTATCCCTGTATTTTATGTCTTCCTGTGTATATAAAGAGCTTGTGTAATGAAAAACACAGTGAGGAATCTTGCTGCATTCCTTAGCAGAAATAAATGGAGAAACAAAGAATGAAACAATAGAGGAGAGAGAAAACGTAGGGGAAAGAGCCCCACACCACGCTCCCCGCAAGGACTGACACCCTGACCATTCCCTGTTTAGGTTATACTGCTAAATATCCCTTCTATGTGCAGATAAAAGCAATAGCTAATACTCTGGGGAGAAAACATTTAGTGTAATTATGGATATAAACATGATCCTCAGCAAGTACCCCAAAGCCCCAAATAGTGAACGTCATGACACATACGGCACCCACAGACGCTGAGCATGGGTCTACACTAGAGGATCAGTCCTCTAGGAGCTGTGGATAGTGACTCCAGAAAACTTTTTAGCTGCCAAATGCAAACATGCTGAGGTGGGGAGGAAAATGCAATGTGTTACCCTCAAACACATCACTTGTTTTGTGAGAGGCTATAATCAAACGTCAGGAGCAAATAAGTTTGAGTTAACCAAGAAAGAATCAAGGAATGAAAGAGTGACAAGCCCTGGGCCAGCTCTGCCCTCTGAAGCCTGCAGGTTCATTTTCATGCCGCCTTGCCACTGCCCCCGCCATGGGAGCCCCTGGGCCGTGTGCAGCTGCCAGCCACTCCAAATGGAAAGGCAGCCTCACAAAATGACCAAAGTGTCCCCACGGAGGAAAAACAACAACAAATTCATTTACACTTATGCTCTAAAATGGATTTTAACTCAGGTCTCTAGCAGAGAAAAGAGGATGCATTAACCTTTAGTGACATCGAGATCCAGAAAATGAAAAATAATTTGGTAAACCACTGGCCCATCATGTAGCCTTAGCCCTTAAGGTAATTAAATCCAGCTGAGATATTTAAGCTTAAAAACCACCCACTGCACATCCACACTCCATTTGTTTGCAGGAATTTGCATGAAGATTTTTAACCCAAAAGGCTCACATTGCAAATGCAAAATTATATGACCATGTCAACTTCCAAAGTCATTTTTTAATGTAAATAAAGCACTTAGCACAGTGCCTGGTACATACCGAAACCCACTGAAATTATTTTTAACTGAACCTACCTATTATGTGGGGAGAGAAACCTCTGAGGGTATTTCTAATATGTCTCCATGCTGCATTTTTAGTAAAGTGCTGTATCCTTCATGGAACCACAATAACCATTCAGATGACAAATTTTCTAAGTGTTTCCTTAACCCACAATGTAAGCACAGGGAACATATATCTAATTGAGAGTTGTCTTACAACTGAAAAAAGTTCGAAAGCCTTACCACAAAGAGAAAGAAAATAGTCTTTTGTTCCTGTAAGAAAAGACAGTGCTTTATTTTCTGACCTTCACTTATTACAAGTCTATTTATAAGGCTATAATTATGGACACTAGAAGGTCACAGTATTCCCCGACTCTAACCTTACTAAGTGGTACTCAAAACAATTTAAAGAAAATAATTGTCAATGTAACATTTGATCTCTAGAACATCAGCTTAGAAATCTGACATTTATCTTATCTGGCTTTTAGTGGCTTGTGCCATAACGTTTATATATAAAGGAAAATTTGATGAGACAGCTAATAACCAACCCAACAGGTCAATGCCTGATAGTCATTTCTATAGACTTTACTTGAATAGAAATTAAATATACACCTACAATGAGAAATGTGCATTGCTAGTGATAAAAAAACAACTAAAGAATTTTTTAAGGTCTCAGAAGCGATCACTTCAAAGATTATTTCACTACTACCCAAGTTTAATGACTACAGAGCACTTTTTAAATAAAACCTGATGAAACACCAAGAGGAATTCCAGGGATGCAGTTGGGATAAAGTAGACAGCAACAGAATCATTCTATGGGTTAGTGGCTCTGAGAAATAAGCAAAATTGGGTGCCAAGTATGATACAACATTGAATAATGTCACGAATATTTATTAAAATTACAAGACAAGACAGACGAAAGATCAAATCAACAGCACACCAGATGGTGAAATACTGTCTATGCATCTACTCACATATTGAATGCCATACATTGGGCCCCAAATCATCTCAAATATCTCTTAAAACTCCCAGGGAAGCCACACCATTTATGAAAGGTGGATTACTACATAATGTGTCATTTAAACACATTTTGAATTTTTCTAACATTAAGACTCAAAAATAGTTGTGGGGGGAGGTGAGAAATATATTACTAGCAGGGATATTTTTCACAGTACTGCCTATTATTTAACAGAGCACTGCTATTCTGCTTAACACAGCTGGAAACTACTCGTTTTCAGTTGTAAAACAGCTTACATTGCCTGTACGAATATGTATGTCCATTAGGATTATGAAAATAAATAACAAGTTTTAACCCATTATATTGAACAGGATAACAATGAGTTGCTATAGAAACTTGTCCTGTAAGAAAAATATTTCCATAACTCAAAACATAGGTTAAAAGTATAGTTCAAATGTACATCATTAAGAACTGTCTAATGTTTTTAAAAATCTACTTTGGGTGGAGAAATAAGTCTACAACAAAGGAAACATCTGTAATAAGAAACTACAGTGCCCTTAAGTTTTCTCTCCCAAATATTTTTTCTCAATTTCATTTCAGTTTAAATTAGATTTCCCAGTTAAGTGTTTGTCTTCTATCAATCTTACTTAAGCTGATCTGTTCAAAAATATCTTGTTTTGTTGTTTTCACATGAACCAATGGAAATGTTCTTGCAGAACATCCAAGTCAGCCATGCTCAACACCTTCTTCGTTGAAGAAATACTGGGAAAGAAACTACTGATTTTTTTTTTTTTTAAGTGGGAGAGGCAAGACCCAGAAAGATATATGACATGAGTAACTGTTTCTAAATAGAATTAAGGTTCAAGCCAAAAAAGAAGAAACACTAAAAGTAAACAAAAACCCAACCTGATAACCAAACCATCTGCTTGCTAATAAAAACCGCTTCCTTTGGCAACAATGCTCCCTCAAGAAAGCAAATGCATTGCCACTATTGAGTCCAAAACAAATATTTTCTTCAAGGCTGCAGTAATTACATGGTTCCAAAATGTTTTATCACTTTCCAATAGATCAGTATGTCTCCCTGAAGGAAGTATTCTTCCAGGCAGACAACATAATGGTTCTGAACATGTTGCCTTAATCCAACTTGCAGATGCAGTAAAACGACAAAATTAGGCTATTACAGAGAATCGGTACCTTTCTCCCCTCTTGTATGTATATAGGACATCAAAAGTTAAACAAGTTTTTAAACAATCTCAACTACAGAACACCCAAATTCTTTGGCTTGGGGCTACATAAACATACCATGGAGCCAGAGATGACTTAATGCCCAGGTCACTGGTGTGCTGCCACTCTACCTGGGGAGTCCCACTGGTAGCTTCAACCCTGCTCTTCAACATGTCCCCCACTCCCATCACAGCGCTCCTTCAGGGTCAGGGAGCCCTAAAGGGTCACAAGAAGTTCTCCCTGAGATGCAGAGTAATTTCTACCCTGCACAAGTGTCACCAAGAGTCTAAGATCATTCACTTACCAAATATTTTCATTTTGCTCTGCCCTATTTCCCAAAGCAGAAACGTTATTCTTTATTAGACAGGAATTGATACACTAAAGCCTAGAGGGAAAAAAACCCAGAATATCTTCCATGTATTAATTTGAAATCTGACAATATGAAACTAATTTTACAACTCAAAAAGTATCAGGTCTAGGCTCATACATATATTTCAATCTAATAATTTCATGAAAGTTTGAACCACCCAGGTGCTTTTCGTAAAACATTGTGGTCCTTAGAGAAACCTACATACTTAATTGCAAGGGAAACCAGAAATAATAATTTTTAAGAGAATATAGTCCATGGATGTGATGTGAAACCACAAACATGTGAGCCTAATCCTGTAGGGTCACAAAAAATTATGTTAAATATAATCTTGATAGCATCATCCACTCAACCTGTTTATAGCATAACACCAGTCACTGCAAGAGACATAAGTAGAGGATAACTAAGGCTGTTCTTCACCCAAAGTGGAATGTGATGGGAGAAACGGAGTGAGGGACAGAGGAGGGAGAGTAAAGAAAAT